TAGTTTTAAGACACTGGAAGTTGAACCATATCCAGCAGATTGTATCTGACTTTTATCTGCTTTACTATAGGGTCTCTTGTTCAAGTTTCACTGCACTATGTGAAGAATTGGAAGGGGTTAGAATTGAAAAGGGCTCCTTGTTTTACATGATTTTAAAATAAATGATAATGCCACTAATTAAAAGCAAAATGTTATTAGCACAGACATAGTCAAATAGATCACTGAAGCATACATATTTAATTCAGAAATAAGTACCAATGTATACAGAGACACTAGAGAATAAAGGATTTTTAAATTTACTTTTTAACTATTACATAAAATCATAATAATTATATATATTAAGGCTGGCACCATTTCATGTTTTGGCACATGTATATTTTGTGCAATGTTTAAATTGGGTTAAAATATTTATTCCTCAATACTTTATCATTCGTGGTGAAAGATTTCAAAATCTTCTCTTTGAATTATAGAGTACATTATTATTATCTACGGTCACCCTACTGTGCCATGGAACACCAGGACCTCTTACTCCTACCTAACTCTAACTTAGTACTCATTGATCAACCTCTGCCACCTCCCCAATCTCCTCAGTCTCACATTCAACTTCTATGAGATCAATGTTTTTCAGGTTCCACATAGGAGTGAGATCATGCTGCACTTGACTTTCTGTGTCTGGTTTATTTCACTTAATGTACTAATCCCCAGTTCCAACAATTGTCACAAACGAGAAGGACTCAGACTTTTTTTTTATGGATGAATAGTATCCAGTTATATATAGGTTCAACATTTTCTTTATCCATTCATTAGTTAAGGACACTTGGGTTCTTTTCATTTCTTGRCTACTGTGAATCATGAACACAGGAATACAGATGACTATCAGACATACTTATTTCATTTCCTTTAGATACACAGTCAGTAGTGAGATTGATAGATCATATGTCAGTTCTATTTTAATATTTCGAGGAAACTTGCTGTTTCTCATAATGAATTTACTAATTTACCTTYCCACCAATAGTGTGCAAGTGTTTCCTTCTGTTCACATTTTTTCCAGGATTAAAGATTACAATCTTTCAGTCTTTTTTGATAATAGCCTTTCTTAATGAAGAAAAGTGATACCTTATTGTGATTTTTATTTAAATTTCCCTGATGGTAAATTATATTGAGCATTTATTCAGGCTCCTGCCAACCACTTTTATGTCTTTTTTTGAGAAATGTGTATTTAAAATTTTTCCCCAGTTTTTAACATGGATATTTATTTATTTATGCTATCAAGTATGTAGTCTTCCTTATATATTTTGGATATCAACCACTTGTTAGATACATATTTTGCAAATATTTCTCTTTTTCTCCCTTTCTCTATTTTTTCTTTTGCTGTGCAGATGCTTTTTAGTTTGATGTAATCTCATTTAAAACTTTTTGGTTTTGTTTATATATACTCTTGAGGTCTTGTCCAAAAAATCCTTACCCATATCTGTGTGTTGAAATATTTTGCCTATATCGTTTTCTATAAGGAGATACTTTTTATGTCTATGATAATGAGAAGTTCATTAAAGGTTGTGCATCAGCACAAGGGATAATTCTTTTATAATGAAAGAAAATATGTTCTTTTTCCATATATAAGAAAAAATAAATGTAAAAATAAACAATCTCAAAAATTAAGGCACATGAATGATCTCAGATTAGGGAGATCATTTTAACCAGTATAGAAACCCAGCAGTGCTTGAGGAAATTACAGACTTACTTTTCCAACATTAAGTAATCAAAATGTCTGCTTTGTAAATGATAGCAAAAGATTTAGCAGGCAAATGATAAATTAAGAATAAGCATTTATGTCACTTGTGATCTAAAGGGTTGATATTAGATCTTCAAAGAACTATAATTCAATGAAGAAAAATAAGAATTTCATTATAGAAGAGAAAATCTAGCTAGAAATTATATGAATAACTTTTCAGATTATCTAGTCAGGGAAATGAAAATAAAATAACAAAGAATGACTAGTTTTTACTGTAGGAGGGTTTACACTTTATTTTCACAAACTGATTTTAGAAAAGTTTTAGCCTTTCTAATCAGTTTGGCAAATATATTATAAAATTAAATGGAAAACTTTTCTCTTTAAACCAACAAACACATTTCTCAAAAATCTGATTTTTTTTTAAATAAAACTGAAGATATGGATACTTTTTATTATAGTTTAAAATAGCAAAACTGGACATCATTGGAAAGTTAGTTATGGTATGATCAGAAGCAAACTATTCACACTTGTATGAATAGCAGATTAATTTGAAGGATTTTTTGTAATCAAAGCAATATGCAAATATTATTTCCYCCAATTTCTAATATATAGTTATGATCATATTATATATTATATTTTAAGATTTTGTAGAATATATTTCTTTCTTCATTGAATACTCCATTTCTTGTTCATGGAGCATTTCAAATTTTGGGAAGCTTGCTTATTTTCTTGAGAACACTTGTGTATTTTCAYGTATTTAGGATTCATTCAAAAAATACTATCCATTTTTGTAGAATAAACCAATATGTGTTTAAATGTGTCTACGTATATGCATGTATGTGTGTGTGTGACTGTGTSTGTTTGATTATATGAGCATTGTGAATGTTACAGATAAATCCATGTCTTACTTTTGGGCAATTGTAGGTGGAATGAAAGCATAAGATAAGGTTAAAACATAATGAAAAAATTGCCCATGTACTATACATATAACTAGACCCACTTGAGTATGCACTTGTATATGCATATTCACACGTAAGGAGAAAAGTTTAAAAAGTTGTAATTGCTTATGTGAAAGTTTCTGGCTACTATATACCATTATTACTTTGGGAAATTTACTTAAATTTTTCTGACATCCCTCCACAACCATCCTCTTCTGAAAATCAAGGAATAAATAATAAAAATACAATTAAAGCTCCATTTCCACTGGACCCCCATTAGGCTTTTAAACCATGTCTATTTTATCTGTGTATCATCTAAGATGTCAAGATGTCCTAGCAATATGGCTTCTTTATCCCCTTGTGTGAAATAAGTCACCTTACATTAGATTTAACATCTTTGTCAAAATCTATTTATTCTCCCTTTCACTCAGCAACAACAAAAGTGTTGAATACTTCCACCAGATTATGTAATGTGACCAGTGAGATGTGGTCCTTGCCCTGATCTATGAGTAGGTGCAGGCACAGAAGKTCATCATGTAGAGGATGGCAGTTGCTGTTTACAAGTGAAGGCTTGAGCAATGTGGGAGTACAAAAAAGATTTTAGTCACTAAGAAATGAATCAAGTTTCATTTATATTTTATTATAGGGTGTAATTCCTTTGTTCATTTAGTAATATGGTTTGTAATGAATTCAATTTTAGAATATTGGTCTGAGTTGAATTTCATGAATTTAAATCTGTCATTTAAAATAACAGGAACACTCGAGATTTTTATAGAATACATTTCTTTGTTGAATACTCCATTTCTTATTCATGGAGCATTTCGAATTTTGGGAACCTTTTGTATTTTCTTGAGAATACTTGTGTATTTTCATGTATGAAAACGTTTTAGGATTCATTCTCCCAAATAAAAATCTCCRCATGGGTTCATTGTTCTATCTAGATAGTATCTTATAACAGATAAACAGATACATTTCTAGCCTTAAAAATAATTTTTTATACTTTCATGTGTATACTCTATGTTTTTTTTTTGTATGTATGTGGGGTTAATTTAATATAACAGCATGACTTTATTTTGTAAGAAAGTCACCATGAATGTGACTTTAAGAACCTTAACTCTTTCAACTAATGGGGCAATTTATTTGCTGCTAGCCTCAAGTGTTCCACAGTTTATGAGTTTGGACTTTTACACCTTATCATATTTAATTTTTTAAAATCCATAATTTTGAGTTTTTTAAAACCTCATTCAAAACAATGAGGCAAAATATCCTTTTTAAAAATATATTTTTTTGGTTGTCAATGGATCTTTATTTTATTTATTTATATGCAGTGCTGAGAATTGAAACCAGTGCTTCATACATTCTAGGCAAGTGCTCTGCCACTGGGCCACAACCCCAGCCCAACATCTATATTTTTCAAAATATTTTAAAAATAACTTTAATTTTTTATGGTGACTTAAGAGTTAATTTGACAAAGGCAGGGATGACTTTCTGGGTGTGACCAGTTGTCTAGGGCCTCAGTCTCAGAAGGACCCTCTACTTTGATTAATGTTGTTGCTKCCATCTTTCTTGATAATGTTAAATTCTTTGATAATTTTAAGACATCAGAAATACAACTAATAACTAATCTTGGGAATCAGCTTCCCCTCTGCAAGATGTTTGCCAAGATGATTTTTACCTTTTAAATTTTATTTTGTTTCATAAAAATTCAACAAGATCATTCATTTTCAACTTAACATTTGAATTCTTATATATACTGCTTTGAGATCAAACATCAAAGAAGTTTCCATTTATAAGAACTACATTTCAAAAATGTTTGTTTTTTATTTAAAAAGATAAAAGGATTAAATACACCACACATATATCACTTTAGACTTTTAAAATATGAAAAGCAGAGTTTTGATGAAAATTCCTACAATTGGGCCTATATGCTTCATGCCCACCTGCTGCATTTTTCAACTTCCAAGTACATTACTAAAGAATGATCAGGTTTTCTCAACACATTAAAACAAGTCCATCATCATTCTTGGTATTGTTATGAGATACTTAAATCATTATCCCCCAAAGAATTTTAGTTTTAAAAACAGTAAACTAAAAACTGATTAGATGTACATGTATTAAGAGTGGACTAATTCTGTTTCATTGTATTAAGCAACATTTGAAAAACATCAAGTTACTTGATTGGCAGTGAGGAGTGTTTCTGTAAATGTTTGATTATAAAGATTTCCCCCTGTACTTGCTCTTGTGTAATTCCTCTGTGTACAGGTCCCACTCACTTTTCCTTCTACTATTCTAATGGCTTCTTCTGTCTCCTTTTTTTCTGCATGTTCCAGAATGATTCTTGGGGAAAGCAGTATTCATATGCACTCTTCAAAGCTATGAGCCACATGCTATGCATTGGGTATGGAGCCCAAGCCCCAGTCAGCATGTCGGACCTCTGGATCACCATGCTGAGCATGATTGTAGGGGCCACCTGCTACGCCATGTTTGTTGGTCATGCCACGGCATTAATCCAGTCTTTGGATTCTTCAAGGAGGCAGTATCAAGAGAAGGTATTTTGTTTTATCTCTTATATCTTCATCAACTAGTTAGTAAGTTGAATTAATTGTGTTCACACTAACAAATCTATTTCTGGCTATCAAAAATATAATGAGCTAAAATGGTTAAAGTAAGAAAGCACAATGTTTTGATATTTTGAGGATTCTTCAAGACAATCCCACAGCTTTCATTTATTTTTAGTTTCTATCTTGAATAATAAATTTTTAAAAATCTTATTTTGAATCCACAGAAAAACATGTTTCAAAATGCATGAAGCTGATATATAGTCTTATCATGCTTCATGTTCTATCATAGTTTAAAAATTTTATATGAAGGGATGTCCAGGGAATAGAGGAAGGAAATAGAAGGGTAAGGAGGCAGGACAGGTAAAGGGAGGAACTACAGAATGAAATTGAGTAAATTTTGCTATGTATATATGTACATATGAATATAACACAGTGAATTCCAGCATTATGTGAATGTATAAAGTACCATGAAAATTTTTTTTAAATAAATAAATAGAAGGAAGACCAGTGGAGTCGAGGAAAAGGAACAAGGGGAGGGAGGAGGGGAGGAAAGAGAAAACACTGGGGATTGAAAGGGAGCTAATTATATTCCATGCATGTATGGTTATTTCAACAAAATCCCCAATATTATGTATAACTATAATATATAAAAAATTTTGAAAAGWTATATATATATATATATACATGTCTCTCTCTCTCTCTCTCTCTCTMTATATATATATATATATATATATATATATATATATATATATACATGTCTCTCTCTCTCTCTCTCTATATATATATATATATATGGACAATATTATACTGTATACCTTTCTGTAGTATAGGTTAGAAAAATGCTGACTAAATGGGGACAGGCAGTCATTGCGCATGCCCCTTTGTATTTCTCTCCATGCTCTAACCATAATTAATGTTACAATTCATACACTCAGCTGAACATATGTTGCCCTTTAGCTAGATAATTCACCACAACGTTCAGTTTTAAAAATGCATGTAAACAGCTGCTGTTGTGCATTCTTATGCACAGTGTGTTAATTAAAATGATTGTTGCTCTAAACTTTTCTCAAAAGGGAGAAAAAAATTAATTTTATGCAATGATTTAGTCATTGCATTTTTAATATGCTTAATTACTTTGGCTGGGACTAAACATTGGTTAGCAGAACACTACTAATACCTTTAACCAAATATTAGTAACTTTCTGACAAGAAAATGAGAATATTTTACACTTGAAGGAAGAACATAAAACACAGGGACTCCATTGCACATGATAGTGTATGAGGCATTTGAGCTGCCAAAAGTCATTTCTGAAAGTGATGGCTAAAATTGCTCTAGAATACTTTTAGTGAATGATAATAGCTTAATTTTCAAAACAGCATTTCAGTTGCTGTTTTATTTACAGAAGTGCTTGATACTATAATCACACAACAGGAGAAAGGAAACCTAGATATTTTATTTCCCCTGAATGTAATTACACTGCCACCATCTATTACAGTGAAGAAGTTGGTTCTTCATTACTGAGGCAATGAAAAGATTAACCACCAAAATTGTTTTTAGGTTCATTTTTAAATAAAGACTCCAGTTAAACTGTATAGAACAAAGAGCATAGTATGGGACAAGACTTTATACAATGGTAAATTTGAACTAAGGTAATATATTCAAATGAGCTTGGGGTAATTTATAGTGATTTAAGGTAAGGCTACAATATGGTATATCTGATGTTTCTCTTACACTGCTGCCTTT